TAATTATACGATGATTGTTATATGAGATCGTATATAATAATATGTGACAAGCATAAGTGATTAATGCATTCAATATGTTATATATGTGATATATTCAGATACATTTTTTATAAGAAATACTCAAATCAAAGTAATAAAATATTTCAGTATTATTTTTAGGCTTAGAAGATAACAATTTAATAACAATAACTTGAAATAAGTATATTATATAGTCGATTATTAGCGCTCGTTTGTATGTGTTTGTTTATCTTGATCAATACATACATTGAAAACATTTTGGTTAAATAAAATTATTAAATTCGATGTCAATGTTGCTTCTTATCCTCTCATAACAATTGTAAGCACCCTAACACCACCAAACACGAACTGTTCAACATAGTATAACATCACTAGCTGGAACATGATAAATTTGATCACATCGACGGCCATTTTGGATTTAAGCAAATCGGACATACTTCCCAAACTTGGATCAGAGTAAACTTTTGAAATATTATTTCAGACATAGTTGTCGGTTAAATAACGTTGGAATCATTACTATTGCAACTTGTTCTGGGTTGATCTCCCCTTTTGCCTAATTTCCCTGGACTATTAAGTCCTGTTTACCTGACTAGGAACTACATATCATGTCATGCTCCCGTTGTCATATTCTTCCTGTCATGTCATAATTCAGGGCCGGCTCTAGCTTCTGAGGGGCCTTGTGCAAGATAATGGGTGGGGGCCCCATTCCTTAGACAGCCCTCCCGTAGTGCCCAGTCCCTCACCCACATATATTCCTCATTTTCTATGAGAATTTCATCTTTATACTGTTATACAACCACACGTGTAAATGTATAACGGGAAAGTAAATCAGTATTAGTTGCCAGGATTTTATACACAGAAACCTCCAAAGCCCAGACTTACTGGCGTCAGATTGCTTAAGGCCACCTCAGTTACCCAGAGAGATTAGAATGCCTGCAAATGCCTAGCTTATACTGTAGACGGGCAAGGGGTGACCTAATTGAAGTTTATAAACTTCTCGGAGGGCACAATTCAGTCGAGTGTCCATACCTGGAGCTGGCGGACGCCCGCCCCAATAGAGGTCACAGCTCAAGCTTGAAGAAGCCACAAGTTCAGATAACTTTTTTCGGAAGGAGAATTGTAAACCCGTGTGACAGCACCGAGTGTGAGCTCTTTTAAGACCAGACTTGACCAGCACTGGCGCAGGTACAGATTCATTCAGGAGACAGTGTATGCCTAGAACTTGCCAACAATGCGTAACAGAGACGTGTCCGACCGCACAAGCGGCTAACGAGCAGATCAGTGGTGAAGAGGATAAAGGTAAAAGAAACGCACTCTCCTGCAGTTTTGAGATGCGCACGCCAAGTGATACATCAAAATTGAAATACGAATCCTATTAAACAACAAATATATTGTATTCAGGAGGGGATGGGGGCCCTGTGCAGCCGCACAGACTGCACAGAGCTGTGGCCGGCCCTGTGTCATATTCCAGTTTTCTTGTCATATCTCCGTTGCCTTGTTCACTAAAATGCATCCTCACCAACTCCTCAACACAACATAATCACTGCATCCTATCCAATTCTCATAATTCTTCTTTCAATCTACACAAGCGTTCATCCACACTACCTCACCAATATTTACTGTAGATGCAGAAAACAAAGAAATTCACCACACCTACACCACCACCATCTTTCCATACCTTCATCATCACCTTTCTACACTTTCGCCAGCCTCTCACCCCCCCCCGTCCCTCTCTCCCCCAGACAGACGGTGGTACGGACGTCTGGCTAAGTGGGCGGGCTACAGCGTTCAGGCCTGGCGGGGCGAGTATATCATCATGACCCAGACTTTCCTTAAACCCAGTAGAGTCTCCTAACAACCAGCCGCAGCGTCCAAGCAAACAGTTGAAGCGTCCTAAGCAACCAGCCAGAGCGTCCTAGCAACCAGCCGAAGTGTCGGTTATAACAGGTGTTCTGGGACCCTGTTATACACATGCACCAAACACAGTACATCAGTTAATAACAAACATATAATAAATGAACGAATTACTGAAATAAAACAAAATAAATCAAGGAATATAGTGTAATGGCTGGCTCATTAAGATCCACGTTACTTCCACAAACAAACTGATCCTCTTCTCTGTAGACCTCGCCTCCAGACGGTGGGTGAGTTTGTGAGGTATTGGAATGAACCTGTCTGTGTTGGCCTCAGTCTGTATTGGCCTCTGTCTGTGTTGGCCTCAGTCTGTATTGGCCTCTGTCTGTGTTGGCCTCTGTCTGTGTTGGCCTCTGTCTGTGTTGGCCTCTGTCTGTGTTGGCCTCTGTCTGTGTTAGCCATGGAGATATAATAACTATTATACCTCCATGGTGTTAGCGCACCAATGGTTATAATATAACGTACCATGTAGTGTATTGATGTACAAAAAACAAAGTTCACATGTATCACAAATCAAATAAGACACGTATCTTAACTGTGGAAACTCCATGGGGCGTCACATTAAAAAAGGAGCTTGATAGGTCAAAGGTCAAGGTCACAATATCCAAAAACATATAATTGTTTAATATAATCATATCTCATCAGAAACTGCTGGGTAAAAACTCTTCAGATTTGGCATAGAGACTTTGCAGGACCTTCACCGGTTAAGAAAATAAAAGCCATCTTGGGGTTTCCTGTTTTAGTGGTAATAACACGGCTGGAGCGAGGTATGTCATCTCTGTTGCCTTGTTATGTAATGAGAGAATGAAGTACGTGGGTTGAAGGCGAAAGAATCCATCCCGTGTACCTATATTGCAAATTGCAGGTGTTATCTACCCTAGGAATTGCATGTCACAAGACCACACCATACAGAAACCAAGGTCATATATCCTACAAAGGATTCCTTGAAGTCAGCGTGTTGAGGATCAATTTTGTCACTGCCTCCGGTGCTATGCTGCCTGACTTCCTCTGGGGTCTTCACTATTCCGGAACTAGATAATTTTGTAAGCGTCATGTTGGACAATTTACGCCTGAGTGTGGTGCTTGTTGCAGGCATTGGTCGACAATTGCTTACCTGAAGAATTTATTATAATATATAGCTCTTTACCTGTTTATCTCTCATTATCTCTCTCCTGCTTGGTTAGGTTAAAGTTTGTGTATCTCTCTCTCTCTCTCTCTCTCTCTGATCGTTCACTTTTGTTTAACATTTTCCTTCACAAGAAAATCCTCTCTGTCCCCTTCACCTAATATCTGGTTATCGCATGGTCGCTCACATGTCCAAATATCAAGTATGATTTACTTTTCTTGGTCGAGTTGTTTATAATAGGCAGAACAGAAGCCCAGACTCACCCGGATGATCTGACGCCACGAAACAGGAATAAATGTAAACTTTTTACTATACAAACAAAAAAACAACTGCGACTATTAATTTATATACTATTTAAGATTTTCTGAACCACTGTAGATATTTTTCGAGAGCTCTGCAGCGCTCTAAAGGCTCAACCTTGTTCGTATTATTTTTGTTGGTTACATTGTATCTGTATTCTTCTGTTTTAATATCATTTAAATAATCTTAGAAGGGTTTATGGTGTTTCCAGAACTTCAACATGTCAGAATAATTTGTGAATAACTAATATTATATGTACAGCTGTGGACAAAATTCCCTGGACAGTTGGCAGTATCTGTTATGTGTGTAAGTCTCTGAGGATCATTAGGTGAGGGGGATTGAATTTTTTTACGTATTTTTCTGAGATTTTTCTTTTGATTAACGATTACTTTTCCATTTTGTGGTTCCGACATAATACGGGTTGGAAAACAACGTTATTATATATAAACCAAACATATATATGACCCAGAAGTACTTGCCAGATATTGCCAAGCGTTCAGGGAGTTTTGTCCTCAACTGTACATAACAATACCTCAAGGTATGGATTATGCAGTTTAGTAGTATTAACATCTTTTATATATATATTAAATATTATGAGACAGCACTCTTTATTTTACGTCTGTCTGACTTGACGAGCTACTTACACGAGCTTATGTCTCAATACGGCTGTTTCTGGGCGAAGTTATGTGTTGATGTGTTACTGCCCCTTAACAACAACGAATATTTAAGCTCACTCTAGGTTAATACGTACACTAGTTCTAAATATTAAAAAGTTAGAGATAATTTTCTCTCGGTGGACGAAAGTATTATTGCACATCAGTATAAGTGAGCCAGAGTCATACACCGAGGAAACTATTATATACTTATAATATTTATAAACAAAAATACATCTTAATAAAAGTATCACATTATTTTTCAAACTTGTGTCTAGTGTAGCACCTGACTTGTTATTGACGCGCTTCAAGATCTTTACTAACGAAACTGTTACATAAATCAAGAGAAGGAAAACCCTCGCATCACGGGTTGAATATCCTATAGGTCTGGCTTCTATGGTAGGCTCTGTGTGGAGGACACCAAGGCCATGAGAACCACCACCATAAGTTTCCTGATTCTCAGTAATTTAATCACCATTTTTTTCCCGTGATAGTTATAGTTGCGCCATTTTTTCAATACACTTTCACCACCACTTTAGCTGCCGTCTTTTTGTCGAGGATTTCAGTTCGGTGGATCTCACAAGTCGAAAACAAAATTTTTCAGTTCCAGAAACCTGTGTAATTTATAATCAAATATAATTAATTATAGTGCAAAGTTGCGCAAAATTGCAATTAAAGGTTTAAAGCCAAAATGACATTTATCCAATAGCACCCAGCACTCTAGAGTCTCCTGCAACCTGCTGCAAAAATAAGGATGCTCGAGGCAGGAAATACCAGTAGGAACGCTAACAATAACCATGTTGACACAAGCTTCACCGCGTGCGTCACCTGCCACTGCGCATGACCAAACAACACGCAACACACTCCAGCACCATGCTCGCTAGACAAAGAAAAACTCCCCCCTTATTATCCCCCCGGCTGTTCATCTTCACCCCCCCCTGTTGTATCCTGGGTTACCTCCCCCACACTCAAGGCCATGGCTACTTTATCTGGCCACCCCGCACTCACCTCTGCCTCACTCTCCTCCCGTCCGTCTACCCGCTGACTGTCCTTCCCGCTCGTCTACCCGCTGACTGTCCTTCCCGCCGTCCACGCTAAGGTAAGGTTGTATCTGAGGGGAATGAGGACAAAATTTACCCATACGAATCACTCATTACTACTCATACCAAGTAATTCATCCTAATACAACGTGACATTTACAAGCTATGGGATATAAAATACGTATGAATATAACCATTGTTTTCCTTTATGATATTAAATACACATTACAGTATGCCATAAACATTCAAGTACTTACGGAACACAACACATACTGTAAGGCACCATTACTTCGTTGAACAATACCATTACTTATAATAACAAAGAGAGGTTTATTTTTTCGTATATACTGTATTAACTTTTAGGAAGTAGCACAGTACACGGCACAGCTCCCGGTGAAACGAGTTGTATTATTTATGTTGTGATAAATAGGATTAATTGGAAAAAAAACTAAAATTTATATATATAGTTAATTTATTTGAAGAAAATTTAAACTGGTGTGTATATAGGGGTGATAATATAAATAACCGTGATATAAATTATAAGTGAATAACATCACTGATAGCCTAATCTAACCTAACCAAATTTAGATAAAGAATTGTTATAATCTTAAACTCCTCATATGAGTCATAAATATTACCCTACATGAACTATTTTTTTTATTATATTATACCTATAAAACAAAAACTTACCTTGTATACAATATAGTCAACACAATGCGGGCGAAGGTAAATTTCTCACACATTACCAAGAAAGATTTTAGTTCAGGCAGCGTAAAGGAAAGTTACTTGTTATATTGATTTGATCTCAGAGTTATATACAAAACTACAAAGATACCCAGATAGTTATAATAATGAGAATTGTGTCAAACAATCACTCAACAACCTCAAACAGCTTAAGTAAATTACTGAATAAGATTACGATAAGAAATACGATTCGTCGCCACATAATCAACAAATACTATATCAATACAAGAAAATAATCACCAGGTCAATGTGTAAATGAATAATTATTTCCGGGTGTCAATAATCATGTACTAGTTTATCAAGCGGATGTTATACTTCACTGGTATTTATAGTTTAAACCGGATAATACAAAGAGAAAGACTCGCCCAGACTCATTCAGACTCGGCTTATTGACGTGAATCTTTCGTATTTCATTTTGTCTCAACAGCCTGGGTTTTAAGCACAGTTCACTAGTTCGTAAAAAAATACGTTTGTTTATCACCATTAAGTAAACTCTGCATGTTACTTATCTGGGATCATTGTTGCGTGAGTTTATCACCATTAAGTAAACTCTGCATGTTACTTATCTGGGATCATTGTTGCGTGAGAATATTACAAGTCAGGTCTGCAAACTGTTGAATAGTCTATGGTTTGAAGATATATCCCGGCCATTTTTTAGCGTTAATTGGTATTTGGTACTGACTGACTGGTATCTGGTAGTGACTGACTGGTATCTGGTAGTGACTGACTGGTATCTGGTAGTGACTGACTGGTATCTGGTAGTGACTGACTGGTATCTGGTAGTGACTGACTGGTATCTGGTAGTGACTGACTGGTATCTGGTAGTGACTGACTGGTATCTGGTAGTGACTGACTGGTATCTGGTAGTGACTGACTGGTATCTGGTAGTGACTGACTGGTATCTGGTACAGACTGACTGGTATCTGGCAGTGACAGACTGGTATCTGGTACTGACTGACTGGTATCTGGTAGTGACTGACTGGTATCTGGCAGTGACTGACTGGTACCTGATAGTGAATGACTGGTACGTGGTAGTGACTGACTGGTACTAAGTAGTTACTGACTGGTACCTGGTAGTGACTGACTGGTACCTGGTAGTGACTCTGGTACGTGGTAGTGACTGGTACGTGGTACTGACTGGTACGTAGTACTAACTGGTACGTGGTAGTGACTGACTGGTATCTCATAGTGACTCTCTGGTACCTGGTAGTTACTGACTGGTACCTGGTAGTGACTGACTGGTACCTGGTAGTGACTCTGGTACGTGGTAGTGACTGACTGGTACTTATTAGTTACTGACTGGTACGTGACAGTGACTGACTGGTACCAAGGAAAAACTGAGTCATTATTACAGATTTACACACAATGGTCAGGGATTATTGTTACGAGCAAGACTACAATTGTTTTCTCTCTCTCTCTCTCTCTCTCTCTCTCTTTCTATATATATAATGGTCAGGTATTAGGTAATGACCCTACTAATCTTTAAAAAGCACCGCAACGGTCGGTGGTCAGGTCAGAGGGTAAGGTGACCCAACCTTCTCACCTGGTTACAAATCTTCTTAATTACAAAATTGTCCAGTTTGTACATTCCATTACTCAAATTCATGTTGACTGCTTCGGTATGTTTAATGAGACTAGATTCTATAATGTTCCTACTGTCAATTGAATTACAAGGTAATATTGAGGAGGCATTATCCCAGTCAAAGCAATGCTTATTATCCCTCAAATGAACAAACAGAGCATTGGATTCCTGGCCTGTCCTAACATTGTTTGTTCACACAATCAGAAGTTCAACCTTGCGATATGAACATAGCTTCAGTCAGTGATGGTTGAGAAGGCCGTCAGACACGTTCTCAAACTATTTTTTTCCACATTTTGTTTATTTTCGTGGTAATTCGTGTGGATAGCCACTAAATGTTACATTCAAGGTTCAATATCATCCGGCCACATCCGGCCATTATGCCACCTACTCCAACCGATAATGTCTCTCAACGTGTCAGGACTCTTCCTTTCCACTGTTAATGACCCGGATTTTGAAAGATTCCAAGATTAAAATAAGTCCCGCACTACAACTAGTGAGCAGAGAACACACTCTAGTCTCAATGCAATTTTTATGTCATTTTGGCTGCCATCTTTGGCTACGTAAAATCATATCTCTATTAAGTGTAAATCTATGACATATTCACGAGCTGACGTATTTCCAGCTGTAATATTGACATGTACGAGCGTTTGTTAGTCCACAGACGTGTAGTGCTCGCGTGAAACACCACACCTCAACATTAAACAAGCATTATCAGTACGAGAATTATCAGCTTCACGTGTATAGACGTACAATAACACATACAAGCAAAACAAACACCTTTAATGTTACAACAAAATATGGTTAGCCACGAAAGCTACAGTATAAATGTTACTTCATGAATTAAACCACTCATCTGTAGGGAGTATTATGTCAACCGCAGCAACGTTACATGACTTGATCATACCTACTGTAGTTTCTTAAGTTTGTCACTACAACGTATCACTATTCACGACCTTACAGTTCCTCACATCTAACCACTAACATCTATCATTATAGCTTTGTACTTTTTTATACAATTATTCAGAATTATTCGTTCAATATTGCAGACGTGATTAATATATGACTGACCTTCAGTGGAGGGGAGAGCCGGGGTGAACAGTGAGCAGGGGCCGGGGGTGAGGGACTGAGAGTATCCCCATGGCCTTCACCTCTGCTTCCCGGCCATTACGACTCCGTCCACCTTGTAGCACTGGTCGGGAGAAGAAAAAAACAGAATAAACTTATAATTATAAAACAGACACGAGGAATACAAGGCATAAAGAGAAACAGATAGACACGAAATAGACGCAACGTTATGTAGATATATATCGATATATATGCCATCTACTTCACTACATTACCTGGAATTAATAAATAGCAATAGACCCATCAAGAAAGTAAATACCAAACAAACTTATAAGTAAAAAAAAACAAAAAACAAATCCCTTAATAATGAATACGATCAATGGTGAGAAAAAACCCCAAAGATAAACAATATAAATAAAGTCAAATAAATCAAAGAATTAAATAAATTAAATAATTGACCAAAGATTCACACGACCATGAAAACCGAATAAGATTTTTTAAATGACAAAACAGACAGTTAATATACATCAATGAATAAATAAAATTAATATGAAAAAAATAAAATCAATAACGGATATGAAATTGAAGATGTAGTCTCCAATCTGTATAAAAGGAGGCATCTGTAATGCCTTAAGTACCCTGGGAGCGAATGAACTCCCTTAAAAGACAAAAGATGAGGCAGGGAATTTCAAGGACGAATATTTGCCGACGCATCTGCTGTAACGAGAGTGAATTGCCGGAAGAGCTGGATAAGGGATTATTTTAATGGATGTGTTTCTATAATATTTAAGAATGTTGAGGAAATAACACATACATAATGGTGTGGTTTGTTTACTTCTATACGTGTTCTGCTTCTTCGGACTGATACACTTGACTATACCTGGCAAAATACAGGTCATGAATTTTATATATTTGGGATCACATGAAGATCAGCCCCCAGCTTATATTAATTAACTACCTTAACGCTAACCTAACCTAACTTAACCTAATCTAATTTAGTCGAATCTATTCCCCAGATACCGTTAGGGTGTTAAATCATCAGGTGAAATATACTAGGGTGTCTAATCTCAACGTGATACTATCTCTGTGCTCTTAGAATGAAAATTAAAATAAAGATATTATGCGCCAAGTCCACTAAAAGTTTACCCGTGACCACACGACCCTCCACGGCCAAAAGTTAAAACTCTTATGAAAAGTCGAAACCAACCTTGACGGAGAGGAATTTTACCTGTGTGTCCTTGGCTGGTAGTGAGGTGCTGATAGGTGGTCACCCGGTTTAGGATGTTGTTACCTGTGATTGTTTTAATATGACACACACACACACACACACACACACACACACTCATAATCCCACTACTATATATATATAAAAAATAAGCTACTGAGCCTGGTAGCCTTGTGAAGGTCGTTGGCTGCACCTTGAACGTACAAATAAGAAAATTTATCACCTTCAGGTGTATCTCCGTACAGCGCTAAAATAATCACCGTGAGCGTTTATAATCACGATGAAGGTTTAACATTAAGTCTTACGTCATTTACCCGACACCTCTATATCAGAGGAAACATTATTTTCGGAGGCTAAAGAATTTGGGTCCTGCTCACGCCCGCAATATTACTACAATAAATTAGTTTTTAAGTACGATTACAACATAGTTTTGATGGCAGCGGGTGAGGATGTGTTGCAGAGATATACATAAAAAAACTAACTGCTATGTATAACGAGGGAAGATGAGAGTGGAGGGGAAACTGGTCATTGTGGTCACATATCCGGGCTTGGAGCGGTAGTGGTGGCGGCCCTGAGACGGTCACCACATTGACCGGCTCAAGACGGTTATTTGTACGGCAACAGACACAGCAGCCCTTATGAGTCTTCACCTTCCCACACTGATGACTTACTTAATTACCCTGTATCCATCAGCGTCAACCTATAAATCCTCTTGCCATTACGATAGCTAACATCAGCCAATCACCGACTTATTATGTACCCTCTGGCGATCACGATAGCCGCCACAGAAAAATCATTGGGTTCTTGCGAATATTTCAGAGGATTATTAAGAATTTTTCAATGGTTCAACATAGTAATTAGCAGCAAATGAGCGGCAAGCTTACAAACCCTCAAGTCATCACAAGTTACCACCAACCGACCACCAAACTCCTTTACGGTGACATCACACATACGTGTTAACATACTTCCGGTCACAACAGTTGCACGTCGGAGTAACTCTCCAGTGTATACAGTATGTTCAATACGGGGCTTAAATTGACTATGGCAGCAATGGTTAATTTATGTGATGTTTACAAGAGATCCTGTCACTCAATAGGGCCTTAGCATAACTATGTCATCATTTGTTTGCCGCAATGCATTCCAGGGCAAACCCAAGGTTGTTTTCGTTTTTTTTTTACGGGGATTAGTCCACCCGAGCACAGGTCAACCCCCCAGAGAGCCATAAATACAGAAATGAAAAAAATCTAGATCAAGAGTGAAAAACGAAATGTATGTCGTGTTGTCAAAGTAAGAGAAACAATTGAGACCCTGCAATTGTGTGTAAATGAGGCAGGAAGTCAGATCAGCAGCCTAGGACTTGGTCACAATTTTCGTGGTGCCATATGGCAGCAGGGTCTACCATTAGACTACACATTATGCTTCCAATATCTTCCCAGGCGGTAGTACCTCCCTGTTTGGTAGCTTACTGCCTACCTAGTATAGTAAGCTGGCAAGTGGCACAGAGGATAAAGTAGCATAGAGCAGAAACACCAGGTAGAACACACAGACACGTGCACGGTAACACGGGTGATTACACAGTAACCTGCGAACACCTTCATGAGAACTTTATTCTTTTGTGTGGTGTTCATAGTCAGAGAGAATGAGAAGCTTTGAGTACAGTGCGAGCTGACTTACCGCGCAGTGTGTGACAATACCCCGAGTTCATCTTTTACAAGAGCACACCCTTACTCAGAATCTTAATTCGTCTTTCTTAGTTTTAAAAAAGCTTTCTGCTGTAGAAATAAAACTTAGACTGGAAAACGGTTCTTCATGAAGCTGGCAGCTGAAATACTTGAAACAAGAATCAACAACAGTTCACCGTCGTCGTCGACTTCAGTATAGACAAGGCTAGCAAGTTATAAAGAACACAAGTGAACTGACTGTAGCCCGCCACACAGTCACTTTTCACAGAAACTACTGCATATCATCCACGCTCTAGGGCAACTACTTGCCGATCTTACGTACCGCGTCCAACAACAAGACTCGTATAGCGTTTCACAAGGGTAAAGTCCACATATTAAATTAAATTTTTGTCCAAATATCTATCTTTAACATACATCTCATATAATGTATAAATCCTAATAGTTTATAAGGTATATTAATGTAAAAACATAATAATAATATATCCTGTCTTTCAGAGTTGTCATCAGCAGCTTGCCGTGCCAGAGTGACGATGATGGGTGTCAGGTTCCAAGGCTTCCTGGTGCTGCTCCTCTGTAACTATGTTGGTGAGTATCGATATGATCCTGAATAAACTAATACTCGAACAGAGTGGAATACTCGATTCTCACCTCGCACTTTAGACCTTGTCAGAAGTTCTCACTGAGAACACATTAAGGGTAACTGTACTACCAGGAAGACGCACATGTATCTGGCGAACAACAAGGTCATGAACACAAAATAGTTAATAACATACAACAAACAAACTATAGTCCAAGTTAACGTGTATGGTACGTGTTACAGCGGGTGAGATGTGCCCAGACGAGGAAGAGATCGCCTGCATGAACCAGGACAAGTGTATCCCACTCAGGTACATCTGCGACGAGGACGATGACTGTAACGATGATAATGACGAGGACGATGAGCTCTGTCAGGTGAGGTGTGGTTATCTGTATGTGCCTTATCATCCAATCTGTGTGTGTGTGTGTGTGTGTGTGTGTGTGTGTGTGTGTGTTCACAAAGGTTCTCTTGATTGGATTGGTTGTATAATTCTGTGTGTCTATTTTTTTCTCTATTGAGGCTGTCTATCTTCCTCTCTCTACATATTATTAGTCAACAAAGTATTACATTTTCAGTGGAAAATAATTTGATTTAAGTTGTATTATTCAATCAGATGTTCAATCTGACCTCTTGTGACCTGACTATACTGTCCTCTGTGTGACTAAACCCTTCCATCCTGACGTATAAATGACCCAACATTCCTTCTTCATAACTACAAGGTCTAACTTAACACCTCAACACTCTCCACCAATATCTACAACCGCAGTGTGACTTAATATTTCACCCTGACCTCTTGTGACCTCAGGCGTGGAGTAACGATGATTGTGAGAGAGGGTCAGCAATGTGTCAGAGGCTGGGCAACTCCTTCTGTACCTCCATCGTCTCCTACTGTGATTACCAGGACCCACCCTGTGAAGGAAACCTCGACCCAAGGATCTGTGTCGTGAGTTAATCTGTTATTCTTTTTAGTGACATTAATACAGGGTGGTGCATAAGTCGATTTTACTGAGAACAAGATGGTATAAATATAATTCACTAAGACGACTTATCCGCTACTATGTATAGTCATCCAGGTGTTGAACTGGTGTATGGAGACATCTGACACCCCATCGTGTGTGTTTACAAAAGGAGAACCTTCAACATATCTCCATACACCATAACATTTAGTTGTAGTTTCCACTTAGCTGACTGTACATAAGGTGTAGGAAGAAGACTGCCAGACAAACAGTTTCCATCCTCAAGATAGACGTCACTGATCCATTAGTGTTAGAGGCCGTTTACACGTTACAGAAAAAAGGTTCACTTGCCTCTAACACACTACTATTAAAAACTTGATAAATTAACGCGGCCAGAATCTGCTGATAACTTTAACATACAACATTACTTCTAAATAGCTGAAAAATTACGTAAACCTTTTTTAAGCTGAGAGAGTTAAACCAGTGGTCATCAAAGGGCTAAATCACGCTTCCTCAAAGGGTTAAATAATTCGTCATCAAAGGGTTAAATAGTTCGTCTTCAAAGGGTTAAACCACTCGTCATCAAAGGGTTTTAAGTACCTATAAGAAATAAGATGCAGCAGTTGTTATGTAAGTTGTATTTAGTATTGTTTTCATTGATATTACTGTTATTATTATTGTTTGATCCTGTAATATTATCATCATCAAATTTACTGCTCATGTGTTTGTCCTCAAGACAAGTATCACCATGACAACCAAATCTTATCACCATGACAACCAGACATTTTCACCATGACAACCAGACATTATCACCATGACAACCAAACCTTATCATCATGACAACCAAACCTTACCACCATGACAACGAAACCTTATCACTATGACACAACCAGACATTTTCACCATGACAACCAGACATTTTCACCATGACAACCAGACATTATCACCATGACAACCAAATCTTATCACCATGACAACCAAATCTTATCACCATGACAACCAAACCTTATCATCATGACAACCAGACCTTATCTCCATGACAACCAAATCTCATCCCCATGACAACCAGACATTATCACCATGACAATCCAAGTCTTATCACCATGACAACCAAATCTTACCGCCATGACAACCAGACATTATCACCATGACAACCAAACCTTATCACCATGACAACCAAACCTTATCACCATGACAACCAAACCTTATCACCATGACAACCAAACCTTATCACCATGACAACCAAATCTTATCACCATGACAACGAGACATTATCACCATGACAACCAAATCTTATCACCATGACAACCAGACCTTATTACCATGACAACCAAACCTTAACACCGTGACAACCAAATCTTATCACCATGACGACCAAATCTTATCACCATGACAACGAAACCTTATCACCTTGATAACCAAACCTTATCACCATTACAACCAAACCTTATCACCATGACAACCAGACATTATCACCTTGACAACCAAACCTTATCATCATGACAACCAAACCTTATCATCATGACAACCAAACCTTACCACCATGACATCCAAATCTTATCACCATGACATCCAAATCTTATCACCATGACAACCAAACCTTATCACCATGACAACCAAACCTTATCATCATGACAACCAAACCTTATCACCATGACAACCAAACCTTATCACCATGACAACCAAACCTTATCACCATGACAACCAAACCTTGTGTTACAGATGATAAAAAACAACACAGTGGCTCCTCTGCATACCATCCGCCCTCCTCTCTCAAACAAGAAGAGTAAGTCAATTTCTTTTTAATCGCTCTTCTCACTTTACTGTCTTCAGAGTAATGTAATATGTTCTTCTGCTTATAATATAATATCATGTTCTTCAGTTCAATAAATCATGTAAAAAAAATTATTTAGTCTTTGTATGTTATGGAAATTTCCTCTGTATGGTATTTCGATAAAATATTCTTTCTGTTCATCACATATAATTAGACAACACATTTTCACGTTAATAATAAAAACAAAAACAGCTGTACTCATTAACCTGTCCTCGTGTTCCCGCAGGTAACTTAAATGACAGCCTGGAGCTTGCGGACGAATTCAACGCGGTAATGAATAGCACTTTCAGCCACCCACAGTGTCCTACCATGTATACTCTGGTGGGAGATCAGTGCCTTTCACTCTTCTTTGTCGGCAGTGTGAGTCAGTCTCTCTCTCTCTCTCTCTACAGTATCTCTTTCCATCATTGTCTCTCATTCTTCTTTTGTTTTGGTAACGAGAGTCTCCCTTATATCTCTCCGCCTAAATTCCTTATCTCTCTATATTCCTGTATTGTTATCCGGATGTCCGTATCAGTGTCTTTCTCATTCTCATCTGTCTATATGTCCGTGATTTTATGTCTACTTATCTCTGTCTCTCTGTACGTCGGTATTTTTAACTGTCTGTCTGTCTGCATGCCGATATCTTTAACTCTGTCTGTCTGTATGTTGGTATCTTCATCTCTGTCTGTCTGTAGGTCGGTATCTCTGTCTATCCCCGAATTTGCACTTTGTTTTAGTATATTTAACCAATCAAAATATATAATAACATTTACTCTTGCCTGTTTGTGTGTTGTACTGATTTAACATAGCCAAGAATCCCGCCACGTGCACTGATTTAACTCGATGTCATCTGTCTTCATCCTGCAGGTAAGCTGGGGTGAAGCTCAGGCATTCTGTCAGGTGCTTGGCGGAGACCTGATCACCTTCAAGAACATCAGCCATTACGCTGCCGTCGTCAGTCACCTCCGGAACTCCCGTTAGTATCTATCCAGTTCTTTTGTTTATCTGTCTATAGACTTTATTTTCTCATGTTCTTCGATTAATTCTGTCACACACACACACACATTCGTATTCATCTATTCATTCACTTATTTGCTTTTAAGTCAATGTTTTTGTGCAACACTTTAAGTCGTGTTACAGTGTTCCTGCTGACTTGTATCACTCTCAGAGGTGACAACACATATTACTTTTTTCATTAAACTTAATTGTATTTATCCTATCATTTATTTATTTGCTTTTTAAGGTAAATTTTCTCATTGTTTTGGTGTATGGCTTCACAGTGAGTAAGTGAAGCACACAATAGTTTCAGTGTTGTTGTATCACTTTCAGAGATGACCGCAGACTTCTGGGTTGGTGGCCGCATGGTGGACGAGTCACAGGGCTGGACCTGGATTGATAGTGTCCCTATGGAGCTCGGGTCCCCCTTCTGGGCCGTCAGGTTAGTAATACTGAAACAAATAGCGGTGCGTTCATGTAGACTCTGTAGAGTACTGTACACTGCCCACGACTTAGCTCGATGCCTGGAAACGACATGGTGGTGGGGGGTATGATAAAACCGACCCTTATAGATAATAAACAATAAGATAGTTTACAAGAAGGGAATGAATAATAATAATATTTTCACAATTACAAATTCGAACATAACGCAGTTCCATAAGTATTTCATAGTTATTATATATATTTGGATAAAAATTTACCATATTGTTGTCTGTTGGTCGGTTTAGTTTATTTCATAACAAACTTCCACAATAATAGATCGATCTTTACAACGGATTGGATTACTTAACAACAGTGTAAAATTTTTGTCATTCCATAGACGTTTCATTATTGTTATAAATATCAAACTGTTTCTCTCTCTCGTGTGGTCAGGTATATTGAAGAATGCAAGACGCGCAACGTGACCTACCCGGAGCTGAACATAACCCGTGAGGCTAACGTCGGTACCTGCTACAGTTACCAGCAGGCGCCGCAGGAGCACCCCGTCGGCAACTGCGTCGCCGCCTCCTACGAGCACTACTACTACATGATCGACTCAGACTGCCTCGAAAAGAAGAGTCCTCTGTGTGTTTATGCTGATGATGATTACCCTGATGAACAGTAACCCCTTTAAACTGCTGAACTAACGAATGGGAATCTTGTGAGATTAGGACTCCGGTGAGAGGTTCATGATAGTTTAGGGCAGGTTTGGCTACACTGAGGCGATTTATAGGTACGACTAGAAATAGCTAAAACTTAGATCGGAAAGATTGACCTATATTTGAGTAATCGAGTACATTTGAGAATGTTTTAGGCTGGGAGTGGTGAGAGTAGAAGCACGGATGTCTATTTTGTTGATGAGAGTGAAAATATCAGGCCTCGAGTAGGTTATTATGGGGGAGTTGGAAACACTTACTTAACTTTAAACTTATCAGTATTATCAAACACCAGATCACCAGTAATTTCAGTACCTCAAAGTCAATCATTATTACAACAGTTGCCGTTATGGTATCAGTGCCGACTGTTGGTGCATACAACTACGATAGCCGTCCACGGAACAGTTTAAACTTTACCTCCATTTTTTTCTATAACACTGTATCAGTTTAAGATTATGTAAACCTTAGCATGTCGGTTTATTATCAGTATCCCCTCATTTATCTGAATAAAGATGAAATAGAAATACGTAGGTTTTAATTATTCCAATAAATATTTCAACCACCATTATAATGTATGTGTCGTTGTTTTTATGAATACTACAAACTTAAGATATTATTGTATTTTATATGAACGTCTTTTATCGTCCACTTTATCACTCGTTCTATAATTGAGTGGAAGATGACTTTTCCTGCCCTTCCTGCCTTACCAGCAACTACTTGAACTAATCCGTAGCCCAGTTTAATAAATAACTTTCCATGGTCAGTGACCAAGACTTTCCCACCCAGAACAGATCTCTCTCAGGTCCTTGTTACGTGGTCCAACATGACAGTACAGTAGACGTTATCTCAGTCTTTGAAACTATATGTGATTGGATTTTGAAACATGGTGATGATATAATGTATTAATACGCTTCAATAACCAAGGTCTCTTAAGTGTGTATTAAGGGTTGGTAAATATGCAAGTTATCAACAATTAGAGATTAAGAGAAATATCTTGTTTAAGAAAGAGAGTTAGTTAGGTGGGTAAAAGGCAGTTCACTTTTACTAGACTCCTGGGGACGGTGGAGGTCCTCTGTATACTGTCGAAAACTCAACTTCTCAGGGACATTTCTTTATACGTATGTAAAGTGACATCCTAGCGCTAAATCCATAAGATTGACTGTATCCATAGAGAGAGAGAGAGAGAGAGAGAGAGAGAGAGAGAGAGAGAGAGAGAGAGAGAGAGAGAGAGAGATACGTGACCTTCAGTACTTAACTTGTGGGAAACCTTCTTGTATACTCCCTCCTGTTTACCTCCCATGACTCATTATTATAAAACTTTACACATGTTTCAGGTAAAATTAAGCATGCTAAACCTAATCAAAACTGGTTGTAAGGGGTTGGCTGCCCTTACCAGTCTTAGTGCAGTGTTGTGTTTGTTACTGTTAGACATAAATCTAATGATTTTTTTTAGATTTATTATTAATGATTAATAAACCAGCTTAAGTAAAGGACCTGTATTGAAAACAAGCTTATGATGGCTTTGTTGGGATATACTTGGTCGAATTGCCTTACTATTTACCCTTGCTTGTATACCTTCACTGTCTATACACTTTCTTTGTGTACCTTTCACTTATCTGACAATTCTGAATATATTATCTACAGTATCTACCAACATTTCTATAGTCTACGCGCTGCAGTAGCTAATGGAAATAATTAAAAGTGTTTGTGTTGAAACTGTAAACTATTTAGAGAAAACGATAGATAGATTGAAGGGGTAACTTATATATTTTTAGAGCGCAGACCTAACTTTCCAAATGCTCTTTGTAGACGGACGTATTAAAAAAAATGGAAGAAAAGCGATAGATAATAATCAAGGTTTATTAAGGTTTGATTCAACAGGTTCTCTCTAGCCTTATTTATTATTATTATGAATGCATTATAGAAGGCGGTCTGTGAAATACGTGTGGACTCTGCTGAATGCGAGTGTAATGTATATATACTAGAATGCACTATTTATTAACTAGAAATGACATTTAAAATTCCCCCACCTCATAAATATTCTGTCTTAATGGGTAAAAACAAGCTCTGCCTACTCCTTACACTCTTCCGTACTTGCCTAAAAGAAAAGATTCACAAAAAATGGAAAATGGAACGAATAACACAAAAGTATTTAGAAAATCTGACTATTTTCATATTCATTTTAGTTTATTCATGAGTGAATTCAACATTATTATGTATTTACATTCAAATGAAGTATCGGTAAACTGTTATTGTTTTTGAAGAAATTTAATTCGCAAAGAATATGTAATAAAGTAAACAATTTTCTATTCAAACGTGTTAAAGCTCCGAGTCACAACAGAGGGGAGCAAACACCCAAGCAGCTGGTCTCATCATAACTAACGAGGAGGATATGGTAGTCAAGCTGGAACACCTAGCCCCGTTGGCACCAGTCAACACGTAACTTTGACCTTCACATTTAACTGTTGCTTGTTTCATGACAAAAGTAGGTCAAGGTTCAAATATTACAAGAGTAATTACGACAGGATGAGACAGATGAAAAGGGGTATCCACTGGCCTGACTCACTAAGGTATAAGAACGCAGACACTACGCTGAATATCATAGCCAGTAAAGTGAACCATTTGATCGATAAATATATACCAAGACCAAACCAATGCCTCCAGGAATACAAGTAGACCCCTACACACGAGCCATGCGGCGGTTGACAAAGATAAGAAGAAAAAAAGTCAGAAATTCGAGAAGTGGGTTACGACAAACGATGAGCAGGAGAAGAAGATGTAAGCTAGAGCCAGGAACTATGGAAAGTCAGAGTCAAGAAGGGAGGAAGAAGAGTTTCAAGGTAGATTGCAAGCGAGGTCAAGTCAAACCCAAAGGCGTTTTACTGCTACGTAAAGACGAAAATAAGAACGCGAGTAGAACTATCGGACCAGAGGCTTGAAGATGGTAGTTAGGCAGGTTCATAAGAGTCCCGGCCCTGACATGGTGCATCCCAGAGTGTTAAGAGAGGTGTGCACCGAGCTTGCTGAGCCCCTGAAGATCCTGTTCTGTAGATGCCTGGATGAGCAAAAGGTCCCCAGTGATTGAAAAATGGCTTATGTGAGTCCTATCTTCAAGAAGGGCGATCGTCACTCCACAAATAACTATAGACCAGTGAACCTGACTTGAGAGCATTATAAGAGATGCCATGATGGAACATCTACTACGAAACAACCTAATAAAGGATTGCCAACACGGTTTTATGCCGGGACGCTCCTGCGTAACACAATTACTGAAGGAACTGGATGTTTGGACCCAAATTCTGGAATCGGGTGGTAATATTGATAATATATACCTAGATTTTGCCAAGGCTTTCGACAGTGTACCCCATGAAAGGCTGATACTTAAATTGGAAGGGTACAGCGAGATAGATAAACACACAGTTAGAAAAACAGATAGACAGACAGACAGAAAGACACACAGTCAGATAGACAGACACAGACAGACACAAACACACAACTATATAGACAGACAAACAGACACAAACACACAGCTATATAGACAGACAAACAGACACACAGACATATATAGACAGACAGACAGTTACTGAAACATTTGGGTTAAACATTTCGCCTCACATATTCCAAAACATTTTAATATTTCGTTGTAATGTTGTAGAAACTTTATGGTCACGTTAATGACGAGCGCCGTGAATGACATGTTAATATAATCAGTATTTTTATGGCGGGAAATAATAATATGTAGGTGATATTTTTTTTTTCTTTAGCGTCACTTGTGAATGTTGGAAAGTGAACCAAATGGACGTTCACCTATAAGATAAATTTGTGTTTTTTTTTCCCTGATAAATATTCTGTTTTTCTTTTCTCTCTATATATATAATTATCTCTCTATTTCTATATTTTTCTGTCTTTATTTTATTCTTTTTTATTCCTCATTCATTATCTCTCTGTCTGTCTTTATCTACATTTATCGACGTGTTGGATATAATTTGATGTGTGGTGTTGGTGTACTATGTCAAGTTAGGTTAGGATAGATTAGGTTAGATTAGGATAGTTAATCTTCAGGTGATAAATATTTGTCTCTATAAAAAGAATGTGACAAAAGATATTAACACTGTCGTAGAAAAGTTACTAAGTTAATAAAACACAAAGGAGCTGTGTATGTGTTAATTTATCCTGGTCTGTCTGTCTGTTTGCCCTGTCTGTCTGTCTGTCTGCCCTGTTTCTCTGTCTTTCTCTCTTCCTTTCTTCATTGCCTTTCTCTATACCTTCGTTTTTTTTCTTTCCTTCTCTCTCCACTTTATTCTCTCTGATCCCTGTCTTTCTCCTGTCCGTAATTCTCTCCCTCTCTCACATATTTCTTTCTATCTCTCTTCTCACGGTTCTTACTACTGTATCTTATTCTCTTTTCATTCTCTATATCTCTCTTTCTCGCCTTCTTTCCACCTCCTCTCTTTTTCACTGTTCTTACTATCTCCTCCTATATTTATTCTCTCTATCTCCTTCTCTCACCATTCTCTTTCTCTCTCTCAGGACCACAACTCGGTGGTAACAGAGAGGACAGATGTCAGAAGATATTTGTTGAGATGTTATACGTATCGCCTCACAAGAGCTCGTGAGAGTGTGGTGGTGATGGTGGTGGTGATAGTAGTAGTAGTGGTGGTGGTGTTGGTGTTGGCAGTGGTTGTGGTAGTAGTAATGGTGTGGTAGTGGTATTAGTGGTGGTAGTGATTGTGGTGGTGGTACTGGTGGTGATGATGGTGATAGAAGCAGTAATGGTGATGGTGATTGAAGTAGTAGTAGTTGTGGTAGTAGTAGTAGTAGTAATATGGTGGTGGTATTAGTAATGGTGGTGGTGATTGTGGTGATTGTGGTGACAGTGATGGTAGTAGTGGTAGTGGTGATGATGATGGTGGTGGTGGTGGTAGGAGTGGTGGTGAGGTGATGATGGTGTTGGTGATAGGAGTGGTGTTAGTAATGGTGGTGATAGTGGTGATGTCACTATTAGATCTTTTTTAACCGAGACTTACTATAACTTAACGCCAAATTATAACATAAACTCGGACAAGGAACCTAACCTAACCTTACTGCTTGGCCAATCTTGCATCAGAGTCCTTGGAGGAGGAGGAAGAGGAGGAGGAGGAGAAGGAGGAGGAGGAGGAAGAGGATGGGGAGGAAGAGGAGGAGGAGAAGGAGGAAGAGGAAAGGGGGTAAGAATAGAAAGAGGAGAAAGCAGAGGAGGTGAAAAAGAAGAAGAAGAAGAAGAAGAAGAAGAAGAAGTGCACGATGAGGAGGAGGAGGAGGCAGGCGTAGAGGATTGTGTTGAGGGAATTTGATTTATCAAGTGATGAACATTGGTTACACACACACACACACACACACACACACACACAACAAACTTGACTGGAAGGCCCATGTAAATAACACAGTCAAGGCAGCCTCGTACCGTCTCTACATGCTACGACGAATTAGGTCACTTGGGACACCCACGCCAGAGCTGAGGACCATCTACAACGCCTTTATTCTCCC